CAGCCTGGGACACCTAGTTCACCCTACCCCCACCCAGACACTCTCAGCCAGTGTGCTGAGTGCTCCCTGCAGCGTGTTCCCTATTTCTCTTCTGAGAGAGAGGAAGAGGAGTCAGCTGCTCCTTAGGCACATGTAACACTACACACCTGAGACATCTCACCCTACAGTCCCCCCTGAGCTGTGCTTCACCCTTCTGCAGTAGATGCGAACCTCTGTTTTACCACAGACAAAGGGCATCCACATAAAGTATGCCTGGGTACCCAACACCCAGAGGTACCAGTCTTCTCAAACGGCACCTGGATCTGTCCAGGAAGAAAAAAAATGCACTTGTGCACCCACAACTACACACCCTGTACATACTACCGTTTCCGTGCTTTGCCAGTGCATTTGGTCCCAATAGAATGCCCCAGTTCCATTCTCAGGCCCCACCCAATCATAGATGACCAAAGCGATGGGATAGTACTTACCCACGGCCTCTTCTGGGGTCCAGTAACCTGAGGAGTCACACACCCGCCGGGAGGAAGCTGTGTGCACATACTGACGGAATGTCCCATCTTCAGTGCAGGCTCCACACACGCTACCGGGGTCCCTGGGGAGACGTGGGGGTGGGGGTGGGGTAGGAATCAATCAGATGAACTGGGAGAAGGAAATGCCCAAGACCTTTGCAGGGAGGAGGGCATGAGATGGTTAATGAAACCCTAGAGGGTAACTGAGAACACAAGTACTTCTTAATTCATTTCCTTCCTGGGTAGGCCTCACCTTTGAAGAATTCATCGTGACATGGAAATACCAAGATCATGAAGCAGAACCATTTAACTAAGTCGTAAAGAAGGCCTGCGGAGATGAAATGGGGTAACTTTTCTCCTAGAAACACTAAACACAAAGCAAATACAATTTGAAATGATCGATTTAAATTCCCATCTACCCTGATTCTTACTCAGTTATCCAAAGACCCTTTGCAGTTCTCCCGCTAACATACACGACAATGTTCAGAATAAACTCATTAGTCTTATGTGTTGTTATATTTTAAACTCCCTGTGCTTATCACATACACAGATGTAACACAAAGTATGTGTAAAATAATTGTTTCTGTGACCTAGGGACATCTTCCTAACCTCCATTCAAGGCCCTTCCTCCACCAGCTAGCTCCGGCCTTACTTACCATATCTCCTAATGGCCCTTGACAATTAAGTATTGCCATTTCAAATGCATCATGCCCTTGAGGGTCCTCGAAACTGTTCCCTCTGCAGTCAAATACCCTTTCCCAGCTTTTCTGTTTACCAAACTCCTACTTATCCTTCAAGACCCATTTAAATGTATCCTTTGCAATAGCATTTTGCATGACTTTTTAGTGGTGGATAAGCTGGCAATCCCTCCTTTGTGTGCCCAGTGCACCCGTTGGCTCCTCTCTGGGCACTGTTCTGTGTTACTGAGAATTTCCATTCACATCCTTTTTGCTCATTTACTTATGCGTGAGTCCAGACTAAACTCTTTTCTTCTTTCTACCTCCAGTAAAGTCAGCAGGGCTATTAATATAATCTATGTAGAGTTATTTAAGCACTATTTTTTTGGGAGCTAGAAGAGTTAGAACCAATAATAGCTAAAGAACCAGGAGGGATCACTTTAGGAGGCTTGCTACTGATAGTTAGATTTTCATATAGGCCGCTATGAATGACACATCTAAAATCAGAGGGATCCCATCAGACTCTGTCCACAGCTAAGGCAAAACAATAATACCTTGTAATATGCTAAACAAAAATAGTGTTGCTAGTTGGGCCAATATTGGTGATAGCATTTTCCATTTATTAAGAACTTTGTATATAATTGGCACAGTAATGGCTTGCTGCTTTTCATAAATTACCTCTCCTTCCTGCGTGTTTACAATGGAGGAAACACAGGCTCACAGAGGTTAAGTAAATTACCTAAGGTCACATAACAAGTTCCTGGATTCCTTTGAGCACATTTCCAAGCATCAGCTAGTGTCCAGTACATTGGCAACGAAAAGACGTAGTTAGCTCTCGACCACTAATTACAATCGGCACTTAGCTCTAATGTGGACCCGGCTCAGAACCACATTTCCTTGATGCACTTGGCGCTGCCGGGGCAGCAGCTGAGTGCGTAGCCAGGCTCCTCTCTGACATAAGGATTCCACATATCGACCAGGTTGGAGTAAACACCACCCAGAGTATGACCTAGGTTGCCCGAGATGTGACGTCAGTCTCCCTCAAAACCGGACCCACCTAGCTGAGGAAAGGGAGCAAATTGTGGCCTTTTCTGCCAGCAGCCTTGTAACAAGCCAGTGTTGATGTCTGCTTTCTAGTAAGGTTTGCACCAGAGAGAGAATGGAAAGATTAAATTGTTTACATGTGCTTTTGACACTGATGTAAAACTCTGGCTCGCACATACGCCGGAGGACTTGCTGTTCAGCCAGTTCAGCTGAGCCTGTGCTAGGTCACGCTCGCAGGAAGATGGCGCTTATGTGCATCACATAGGCACGTGTTGACTCACAAACGGAGCCTGGGGGGCATGGGAGCAGATGGCAGTAATCACCCCTGACCAGGGCAAGGAGGTCTAAGTGGCATGTGGTACATATCATCAAGGTCTCGAGGCTGCAGGAGGCGAGGGAGACCCTTCCTGAAGTATTCACAGGCTTCCTCTAGCGTCTGTGCTTCTCTCTCCAGTCTCCTCCACCTCGGGTTTTCTCCAAAGCTGAGCTACAGGTAAACATATCCCAGGGACATCTCATTTCCTCGCTGTGGCCTGACACCCAGAAGGAAGGTGTGGCAAGTGGAAACACAGTAATCTACTTGCTAAGTGAGAAAGTCCTACCTTCAAAGAAGTCATCTATTTCTGTTTGCCCACTTCTGCAATTCCAGCATCCATCTTTCATCCCCGTCAGCAAAGCTCTATTTATTTGTAGGTCCTTGGGATTGCTGCAGTACGTCTCTGTATCTGTAGGCCTCACATTCCTTACCTATCATAGGAGTTGTCTTATTCAAGGATCAGTAAGATAATTGTAGGTCAAATGCATCTCACAGTACCTCACACATAGTAGGATCCAATCCTCAATGGCTCTTCTCATTGTTTAGAATCTGAAAAGATCTGACCGTTTACTTCTCAAACTTCAATCGTTGGAATCCCATGGAACCCTGCTCTGCTCTGATATGCATGGGCAGTGAACTTAATGACAATCCATCACGAAGCAGGTTTTGAGAGAGATGACCCTGACGAGGTCGTGGCTGGGATTCTGGCCCTTTTGGGCTCGGCCACTCCTCCCTTACAACCCCAAGTGTCATTCTATCCATACCTACTCTTCCTTTTTCAACCCCTCCCTGGTGTATGCAGAGTATGATGACAGCTAATGTTTCCAGTGTAATGTTTTTTCTTTAAGAAGCAGGTCATGGGTTATCTATTGTGGCAGGCCAAGACACAGATAAAAACCAAAGTCGTCCAGTCTTCAAGAAGCGTCCAGTCTTGCAGGAAAGACAGGGGGGAAAATGAGCAGAAGACGACAACCGCACAACATAGTGGCCCCAGGAGAGAGCGGCACGGAGTGAAACAGGAGGCAGAGAAGGCATCGGGAGCAGCCTCCAAATCCTGGGAAGCCCCTGATGCACATTCTGGAGCTGTGCACAGGCCCCGCCTCCCCCTCGGAGCTGCCCACAGGAACAGGACTTCCTGTCCTTTCTCTCAGTTCCTTTCTGGGAGGAAGCAAGCCCTGTCCCAAGCCTCACACCAAGAAGTGGTGACTAGCTCAGACAGGTGGCAAATGCCATCTCCTTTCTGCAACTTCATCCTCATCGCATGCTTTCGGCCATCCTTTCACAGCCCCAGGAATCTAGCCAGATGTGACATTTCCAATCCCCGAGGAATGTGCCTGCAAGATGAGCCACAGCTTGGGAGATGAGCCCTGTGTTGGCAAGCAAACACCAGGAACCCTTCCTGAGCAAAGGTGCACACATGTATAGCTCCAGGCTGAGGCTCTCCTCACTGCCTAGTTTCCCCCTTGTCCATCAGAAATACCCAGACTCTTTAGGTCCCCAGAGAAGACTACCCCAGCCTCAAACAGCAGAGTCTCCGGTCTCACCTGTCATAGACAACTCCACTAATTGGAGGCAGCCAGTGGATAGTGAGGGACTTGTGGGTCTGCCCGATGACCATGGGTGGGATGGGAATGGGGGTGGTCTTCCTGCTTTGCCTCCATTGCTGATACACAAGGTCCAAATAGCAATGCATTCTGGCCACTTGGTTAGGGGTGAAGCTGTCAGTACAGTCATCATCTGCAGAGACAAAAGGGGAGCACCAGAGAGGACGTCTTCACCTGTGAAGTTCAGAAAGGCAAAGATCGTTCTGTCTTGCACAGGGCTGAATCACCAGCATCTGTCACCCCACTGTGCACTTATTAGGTTTCATAAACACTGGCTGAATGAATAAACACATTCTGTTCCAGGAACTCTCTAGGCGGAGAGTAGGAAAGAGGAAACAGAACCCTAGTGTATGCTGCTCATAATGGACAGTGATCTAAAAGCAAGGTTGCTATCTTGGTGTGGGGCAGGGTCAGATGAGACTTGTCCTGGGGATGCAGGGCTGTTCTGCGCTGATGGTTGCTTATTCAGCAAGCCACCAGATGGCAGTGCTTCAGCATATGTTTGGGGGAGCTGGGGTGCCACCTTTGTGATGTTACAGATTCTTGCTGTGTACCCCCATGACTGTGACCAAAGCTAGTGTTCTCTGATGATGTCCAAGGAGAGAGAGAGAGAGAGAACGAAGAATATGAGAAATAGTGGTCCCAGTTTGGCTGTTGGAACAAAGTCCCCTTATAGATAAATTTCTCATAGGTCTAGAAAGAGAATTTTCTTACTGAAAACACACCAATCAAATGCTCACTCTGCAGCATCCCTCTTTGGTCTTCCCACTTCACTGCTGGCACCTAAATCAGTCTGCCCCCTGCAGCCCAGGGTTGGATCTGCTACGTGTCACCATGTGTGTACTGGGGAGGCAGGGGTGCCGGCATTTATGAATCTCATGACCCTGAATTTTTTACCATAATAAAACTCAGATAGAAACTCCTTGATGGGCACAAAACCTACTAGCTCATCCCTTTTCTTCTTCTTGAAAGGCATGGCTAGGGTCTGGTGGTTTATCTTTTTGATAAACTTAGATATTACCCTGAAATTTATAATTCTAGACAGATTCCGGAATTTAACACCAAGCAAGTCCCTAGACTTAATCGACTAATTACCCCCTTCCTTCTCCATTGGAGAAGGTCGTCTAATCTAATCAAATCAACCTCAGGTTTTCATGATGAATGTGAGACTCATTATCCAGGGACTGTGGCAACCATTGCCTCCCTTTAGAAAGAAGGATGGGGGAGGGGGGAGGGGACAGGAGCTTTGAGCAGCTGGACTGAAGAAGACAATCAAATCAGACAGATGAGTTGGTATGGGCATCAAGGAAATGCCATTTTTTAATGAGATGGTGGCTTTTTGGTAGGCAAGCTAAGAATTACTCCCTGACTTTGGAAGAAGGGAAATTGATACAAAAAAATAAGGCATATAATAAAAATCTAATTTTGAGCTTAAAATTAACTAGACCATTTCAAAATAGTAGAGACAATCCCCTTGGCCTAGAAACCTCTTTCTCTCCCACTCTTGAACTCTCCTTCAGAGTAATGCCTGAAGGAGATGGGCAGGACCATGACAGACCAAGTTCTAGAGGCAGAAGGGACCGCAAGGGGACTTTTATTCTTTAAATCTGTGGTAGAGGAGAAAACAATAAATAATACCCCTTAACATTTCAGCATTTCTTTAACATCTTCAAGATATTACCAAAAAAAAAGTAAGAAAACAAATCACAGCCATGAAGTTGATTCCAACTCATGTTGCCTTTAGAGGGTCGGAGGAAGTGCTCCTGTAGGTTCTGTGCTAAGTCTTTACAGCAGCACAGAGCCTCATCCTTCTCCTTTCGGGGGGTTTGAACTGCTGACCTTGTAGTTAGCAGCTCAATTCATAAACCGCTACACCACCAGAGCTCTCTTATTTAAAAAAAAAAAGAGAGAGAGAATATGCTACGATAAATATAATTAAAATCTCTAGCATAAGTTTACCCAGGGGACTGCTTCATAATTGTCTCTACCACCTACGTCCCTCCTGGTCCCCCAGAAACTCCATGCCATTTTAATGAACATCTTGGCTGTGGTGATACCTGTGTAGCTCATGTAGTTGCCGAATGGAGCTTCAGGGAAGTGGGTGAAGCCGCAGGTGTCGTTGGCGGGCTCTGGGTCCTGGCACAGCTTGCTCTTGGGAGTAGGGGCCGTGTCAGCACAGAGGTCTCCTGTATCCATGGATGGCACTGTTTCCCTGCAGGGGTCATCGCAGGATTCTCTTTCACTGACCCCTTTGAAGACATGGTAGAGTCCGAGGACGTGCCCGACCTCATGGATCATGATGTTGGTATGGCCCGGCATGCCATAATAGGCAGGGTTGAGGACAACTCCACCTGTGGTGAAAGATTTGGAAAGTGCCTCTGAGCCTTCAATAAGCAGAAGTTCTTAAATCTCTAATTATGTCTTTTGTTGACCATAAGATGCTAAATTTCAGTCTCTAAGGAGGCAACTCATAACTCTTCTGCATTCTGTCCCGGCTCTATACTTTGGCCACAAAGACCATCTTTTTAGATCCAGTCAATAAGCATTGTTTTAGGACCTGGATGAGTGTTTAAAAAAATCAATATTTAAATACCACTTCAGATCAATTAATTTCAAATATTTGAGAAAGGGATACACGACAATATTTGCACAGTCTTTGCGGATGGGCAGTCATTGGTATAGGTGAAAGCATGAGGAAGCTTCCAAAAGGTTCTGAAAAAAATGCCAGTATATTTTCATTCCATTTTTCCACAAATGCTTTGAAGTCCTCTCAACCATAGGGTTTAGAGTTAGTATTCTGGGCCTAAGTACTGGCCCCTCCATATGTCAGCTCTGCGAATTTGAACAGGTACCTGACCTTCAAGAAGCGTCATGGGGTTGTCTGTAGAAATAAATGGAGTTGATGCTATAACTGTACAAGTCTGGCTAGACCAGAGGATGTACACTGGTACAGATAGGAACTGGAAACACAGGGAATCCAGGGCAGATGATCCCTTCAGGACCAGTGGTGTGAGTGGCGATACTGGAAGGGTAGAAGGGGGGTGGGTTAGAAAGGGGGAACCGATTACAAAGATCTACATGCGACCTCCTCCCTGGGGGATGGACAACAGAAAAGTGGGTGAAGGGAGACGTCGGACAGGGCAAGATATGACAAAATAATAATTTATAAATTATCAAGGGTTCATGAGGGAGGGGGAGCGGGCAGGGAGGGGAAAAATGAGGAGTTGATGCCAGGGGCTTAGGTGGAGAGCAAATGTTTTGAGAATGATGAGGGCAATGAATGCACAAATGTGCTTTACACAATTGATGTATGTATGGATTGTGATAAGGTATGAGCCCCTAATAAAATGATTAAAAAAGCAGTGGGGCTTCTTGAAGGCCAGGAAGTTGTATCGTGGGAACAATAACACCTACTTCTTGAGAGTCTAAAGCATTTGGCACGAGGAGGAGATTGGTAACTGGCAACTGTACATATAAGCTGCTTCTGATTTCCAGGGTTCCTACTCTCACGGAACTGAACGTTGATAAGACAAATCCAAGTAATTCACCAGGAAGTTCAGAATGCCACAGGCGCCACAAGACTATACCCTCCATCATTTCCCCAAGTGAGGTGCTTCAAGAAGAGTTAATGGTATTTAATTTGGGTTTAGATGAGAGAATTCTTAGTATCACTGGAACCTTACAAAAGAAAAGACTAAGACCTTTCAGACCCACCTTCTATCTCTCCAGCTTGCTCAACCCCTCTCAACCCTGACTCTGCTCTGTCCAAGTTGGAACCACTTGACTTTCCTTCTGTAACCCAAATTGGCAGATTTAGATCCAGCCTTACTCCTGAGTCATGGGACTTCACCAGTTTTGAATGAATAGCCTATGATCCAGAGTAATCCTTGACTGTGTTTATAAGAGAGGCCTTACCACTTCTGTCCCAGGTCTGATCCCAATTCACAGGACTTGCTTAATTCCTCATACTTGAGCCCGTGCTACATCAAGAGTCTTCAGAGTGTCACACAGCCACTGGAAGATAAGTTCTGCCTTGCTCTTGGAAAACCAGATCCCAGGAAATATATTCTATTCCTGAACTTTGAACAACAGCCTATATACAACTATATACATGGTTCTATACACAGAACATAATGACCTGGGATCCGATATCACACTTACTTGTTTCTACCTAATCAATGACTCAATTTGCTTGTCTAGTGACTTTTACTGCAAAAGAAGTGGTCTAAGTCCAAGTCCTAGTCTCTCCCAGTTGGCTAAGACATGCTGATATTCATCAAGTCACGGTCCAGCCTCATCTTGAGATATGATATTATCTCCTTTCACATCTAAAATACAGCTAAACCTCGCCTTTATTATTTACCATTTCTACCACTTTCACCAGAATCCTATTTTCTAACATTATCCTTTCTTTTCTTTTTATAAAATTATTTTATTTGTATTTGTCTAATTTGTACACCATTATTATGTCAAACTAGAACACCGTTCTCTCACAACATCTTCATTGATGTGCAGGTTGACATTGTTGGAGAACTGAGAAACTATTTGTGTATGACGTGTGACGATAGGAAGCAGATTCAAAACCAGTGACATCCCCTGCCTTCCGTCCTAGAAATAACATTGGATCTGAGTCTGCTGACTTGTGTCAAGATATTTTAATACTCAAAAACTGGTTTAGCTCAATAACAGATGCTCAGTATTTGAATAAATGCAGTGAAATGCACAGTCCTCATTTTTCAAGATGCCTATTTTTCATGTTTCGCACGTCCAGCGATAGCAATAACGATCGTTGAAGTTCATGTTCAAGTAGTCTGCAACCATGTCAGCTTCACATCGAGGAGGCTATCCTAAGAGGACAGTTTTCTCTCCTAATTTTCATTGCAAGTGCCTTCACCCCGCTCAGTCTTCTTGGTTCCCCAGACCTCAACACCACAGACACGTAATCCTTTCTTTTCAGCTTCACTCCCACTCTCAACACTCCTTTTCTTCCTACCTTGAATCAAATTTTGGATCAAAAAACGAATGTGTTAGATATAG